ATCTTTTGTTGCTGCGATACACGACCCTCTCTTCGGTTCCTTCGGGATACTGTATTAGCGCTTTGCTGATTCTGTAAAATTTCAAGAGACAGGTGTGTGATTTCACCTACACAGGTACTGGCCCAAGGCTCCCGTTTTGCTCCGTATACACTTAAGATTGTCACAAAACTTAACTACACTGTGTGCGATTTACTGTGTCGGTTGCTTTTATTTCTTCCGTACTCTTTAGTATAAATTAGTTTTAAACATATTTCGCCTACGTCAAATAAGCAATTTGGTCTACATAGATGTCCAAAAATTGCATATTATCTTGTGGACTAATTATCTGGGGACATTCCCATCAAATGAAAACGATGCTAGACGGGCCTTTATTGATCTTAAAATCCTTACACTACCATCGCAATATGTATTAGAATGTCTCATCTATGCTAAAGAAAATATTAGTAAATATGATGTGCTCAGCGGTATTCATGAATACAATATACGAAACAATGGTAACTTGCTTCCTGTTTGTCATCGTTTGTCAAAATCTTTTAACTCAACAATGTACTATGTCCCAGTTTCACGACAAACTTTCATTCCCGTCATGTAAAAAGTGCGCTAAATTAAAAATGCACAATAATTACTATTTGCAAAAAATTATTTTGACAAGTTATTTATTCAACATTGAAATACAAATTAAACTAATAATAACATGGCCAGGCCCGTTCCTGGGGTGTCTGGCGCCTACGTGCAGCATTCTTTTGTGCGCCCCTTTTATATTTAAATATAATATTTTAAATATTTTAATTTAAAGCCCTAAAATTTAAAAAATATATATTTTGCGACAAACTGGCATTATGTAATTGAAAATGTAAAAAACTACTACAGTTTTGTTGAGGGTACACACTGTGCCATTTCGGGATACCCTGTATATAAATTTATGATCTTATAGGAACATAATAGAGATTAATAGGTATAATGCTATAAGGTCAAGAAGTGAGTCTTTTTGTGCTGAGCTCAAAGTTTTTATCTTAATTACAATATTAATTAAGTTTTTTACACCTTATAGGGAGTAAAACTTTATTATTTATAAACAATCACAAAATTTCAATAGTCCCTTATCAATCACTTTAGTAACGAATATTGACAACAAAAGATTGTTTCAAGAGTGGCATTTTTTTAATATAACAATAAATTTAGAAATATTACAGTTTAATTTTTAATTTTGTTATTATGTAGGTATTTAAATATCAAAATATACTGATAACGCTTATCGATAAGGAACTAAGCGCCAAAAACTTTTTCTGGGCTTATTTATAAAATAACTCATATTTAATAATGCTCAAAAGGTTAATAATTATTTGGAAATTTTTTCAAAAGGATTGAGCTGGTTCCCAAATTATTATTAATTTTTTGAGCAGCATTAAAAATGAGTTATTTTGCAAATAATTTTGCTTACCCCTGAAAAAGTTTTTGGCGCTTGGTTCCTTTTCGATAAACGCTATCCATACATAGGGCACAGTTTTAATAATATATATAATTATTAATGCTGGTTCAGTATAGGCATCCTGTATATAAGAATGTATAGTTTTAAAGAAAATTCAATAAAAGACTTCTGTTTTTCTTTGCTTTCCCAATTTTTTTAAACTTTGATTGGCATTTATTAATAAATAAATTTCAATTAAATCAAATTAGACAATTTTCTCATTTAAGGAAGGGGTCCTTAAATGAGAAAATTGTCTATAGAAGAAATGTTCACAAATAGCGAATTTCTCCACCAAAACACAAATCTATCATGTCGCATCAACCCAGTTAAAGACCACCGTAACTCAAAAAACATTGAAATGAGATAATCAAGTTTAAAGTTTTGCAAAGGTTAAATGAATTTATTGAATAAATTAACACCCTTTTGCAAGCTCTAGATGCTAAATCCAATGGTTTTTAATCAGTATATTTTGTAAACGTCTATAATTTTTAGAAAGATTTTATTTCATTATTTAAAAAAATATGTTGGTTTTGCACTAAAAATTGGTCTCATATTTTCTAATTATGTTGCATTAATAAGGTTTATGGCATTTTGACTTTTTTTGTTAAACTAAATAAAACAGATTTTTGGTAATATAATTTATTTTAATTAAACAAATAAATACCCAAAATAATATTTATTAAAAAATATAAAACTGAAATTAACTTATATAAAATTACATTGGTCTTGCCACAACATTAAGATAAATTAGAATAATTTAAGAACCATATATTTTTATATGGTGAGTGGACTTGGACTACACAGATATTTTAGTTCAATATAAATGTATGTGTAATAAGGTTCTTAAAAATAGGACCACAATAACTCAAAACTGTTGATTTTTGAGTTATGGTGTTCTTGAACTGGATGTGCGATGTATCAAAGATCTTTCTCATATTCTATCTACAGGTATGTTAATATTTTACTACCAAATCTATTATTACTCTCTAACATATTTTTTAAAAAGCATATATTACCATTTTGACGCCCAAATTTTTTAGTTATGTAGTGGTCAAAAATTGTATACGGAAATGCATATGCTATCTTTTTATTTTTATTTTTATTAAATTAAATTCTTTTTAGTTTTCGGGCATTAGTTTATTGGATCGGTTGATTAAAAAAAATTATATCAATATTATAAATACGCTGGTTCCTTAGGCTTAGGAATTAATGTTTTATATGTATCTATACATGTGTATACATATTTATATTTATTTATTTATTATGAATCACTATTATTAAAGCCGAGAGTCGGCTGTGTATAGTTGGCCAAGTGCCGGCCACAACAGCCTGGCAATTAAAAAAAAAACTACATACGTCCTGGATAAGTATATCTTATAGGTTTAACACACTCGACTATAGCTATGCTAGCCATTATTCGTTACTGAGCAGATGAGGACCCCAAACAATTAATTTTCAGCTATATCATTACAGACGCACACTTCCAACTAAATATTGCAACCCATCGCTATTTATAGTTAGCTTGCTTGCGTAAGCATCCGTGAGATGTATCTCTTATGCCGCGGCAGGCTGTATTCCGGCCGTAAGCGGGCCGGCTAGGGCAAGGCGAACGATTTTGCAGCGGCATGCCGTATTCTGGTCCACTTCGGTTAGAAAATGGCCAAACGGTACTGGGCTAACATAACGCGGGCCATAAGCGGGACGACTGGGATCAAGCCGAACCGCCGGTCAATCGCCTATGCCGAGCGAAGGCCGACATTTGGGAACATAGCATCTATCAAGTTTATATTTTGAACACACCACCATTATGATCTTATATGTGGCATTTAAATAATATTTGACATAATTTGAAATTTAGTTTGGAACTTAGTATAGCATCTGAGAGCAGGATATTCAGTCACGTTAAGTATGTGTTTTTTGTGCAATGTTCCCCAAATTACGGGACATTTTTTCTGTTGCTCCTAACTTTAAAGTAAATACATAAATAAACATGTGAACGAAAGTGTAATAATGTCATTGTTAAAAAGGAACCAGGACACACTGGTTGACAGACATGCGTGGCGGGGGTCCAGGGGACAGCCAAAATGGATCGAAGGTCCCCGGAATCGATGGCGAAGGCAGTTCGAATTTCCGACAGACGCAAGGCTCTTTAGAGACTTTCCGTCTGACGTGCCTTTAATAGATGGACCCATTAAATGTTCTGAAGGGTAACTATGACACCCCTCGGCTGGGTGTAGACTTACGACCGTTTGTTTACGCAAGATTGATGAAGTTTGTTGAATACCTACTTTATTTAGGTGATTGAAAGAAGTTTTTCTTAAGCCAAAGAGTTTTATATGCAAGATCACTTAAATTTTTAAAAATAAATATAAATTATTATTTATTATTACTTTAAAATGTAATAATATAAAAATAATTTAATCTATAAGATTCCTATTTATCCTCAAAAGAAAGAGCTTAACTTTTTATTACATTATAGCCGTCCCATGTCAAGTCAATATGATTAAATTAGATGATAGTTTCCCTGCTTATATCCGCCTTTTTTCCGGTTAGTGCCACATTGTCAATTATCTGATTTTGCTTGGCTGTAAATGTCTAAACTGGCCCAGTTTAAACCGTACATTTTTTATCTTTAATTTAATTTTTCTTAATCCGAATTGCTTTATCAAGTTATTTAAAAAGGACAAATTATTAAAAAAAAATTATACAGGATTTTGAAGGGGAAACGGAGTTCTTTCAGATGGCTTAACGTATTTTGTAGAAAAAATTTATTGTGATTTAATACAGAATGCGGCGCGGGAGCAGTCACTTTTTGAAAAGAGAAGTACACAATCAATTTTTGAGAAAAAAATGTTTATAATAAAAACATAGCTTATGGCATACTATTAAAGAATAATATGTTCAAAAAATTGTCATTGAGACCTTGACTATTTTTAAGGAAAGCCTTTGATCAAAGTTTTTTTTCCAAAAGTGGGCGATCGATTTCCTCGATATCCTGTCGTATTGTGGCTTTTAACTCTTCCAGTATTTTAAAATCGCTAAATTGGAATATGAGCTGATTTGAAAACAAACTTGCATTTGTAAAAATATTTACCACCTTAATGACCTAATATTTCGAACATGGCATACCATAAGCTATGTTTTCATTATAAATAATTTTGTTTTTTTAAATTGATCGCTTACTTTTCATATAAAACAAAGACTACTTTCTGTATTATCAAACATGAAAGAAAGAAAGTTTTTTTTACACATTTAGGTTACAATTTCTTGAAAACCTGATATAGTTAAGGAATTTTGAGGTTGCACGTCAAAAACATGGTTTCTGCTTTTTTTTTAAATGTGGACCTGTATTTTTGCATCTGACAAATCCAATTTGCTAATAACAGCAAATAAGATAAGATTTAAATAACAGGCATGCACTACTGCGCCATAAAAGGGCTTTGTAGCTCCCATAACTCTCATACCACTTTATCCAGATTGCTTGTAGTCAACAGCTTTCGAAGCTTGGGGATTGGTTTCCTGATGTAGTCACCTGGTGTTGGCTTCTGGTCGAAATGCGTTCTACACTGTGCCTCGCGGAGGCCTCGTCTGCCAGTCCTATGCGCTTCGCTTCGATTATTTTCGCCACCATCCTGACTTCCTTACTAAGAAGGTTTTCCGTGAATTTGGAATTGTCCAGCAATCGTATGACATATTGTTTGTTTATTCCTCGACTTAAGTCTTGGTTGTGTACATCACACACTGCGTACTTAATGAGTCTTCTCGGGGTTCATCCGCTGCGTCATTGCCTTTTATACCCTTCTAGAGTATATAAGAAACGTTTTGTTTGCGAATTTAACGCCTCTGTAGCATAGTAGTTTCAGCCTGGAATACCGTGGATAGCTTGACTAGACTAACAGTTATGCTCGTCCCAGGACTGGTGCTGTTAATACCCGCTAATGCTTTCGTTCAGATCGGTTTTTAAGGGTGGGCCTTTGCCCCATGCTTTCCTATCTGATACTAAGGTAGTAAAGTTTTTTCCGAAGTTGAATCTGCTGACCTCTGTTTGCTGATCAACTTCTGATGTGTGATCCCGTCTAGTTTACTAATTGGTTTGTGTCCCTGTAATAGTAAAACTGCACGGATCTTGCTGTTCCCTCTATGAAAATGTGAAGCGGTGATAGAATCTGTAGTACCTTATTAGTATTCATGCATTCTATCGCTGATAAGCAGGCCTGTTTGATTTTTGTCCACCAGAGGTTTAAATCCTATGTAACCATATGTCTAACCACTCCTGTGTCATTCTGGGGCAGTGGTCGGATATTCAAAACCCTGTCGACATACCTGCTCTGTCTTGCCTGATCTGCTCGCGCCGTCAGTGGGCGGGAGGTTTAGGTAGTTGACTCTAGTATAGATGGATTTTTCGTTTTCGCGTTCGAAAATTTGTTTCCAGTTAGGTATATGAGACATTCTTTTACATATCGTACGGATTACAGAAAACATATTTTTTCAAATTTTTAAAATGACTTAATTTTTTTTTACAGCATCTTTTCATAAATTTAGCCGACCCCTATATCGGAATTTTTGCAGAAAATTTATTTTTCCAAAGATATATTGATTTAAACTTTTGATAAAATTTGAAAAAATGCTGAATTCTTTTGTACTTAAAATTCATTATCTCCGGTTCTACTGATCGGATCGATTTCATTTTTTTTTTATTTTAAACCATATTACATAGTCTTTTTAGATAAATATTTAAAAAGTTTGTGTTTTGTTTATTATATGAAAAAAATATTTTTTTTTGTATAAAATGATTTTTTGTGTTTGCCCCCTCTATGAAAAAAAATTTAAAAAATACTGTTCTATGCACTATTTATTACTGTACAAAATGAATTTTTCAGAAAAATGGAGACTTTTTTGGATAGGAAGATATTAAATATTTTCGAGCGCGTGACCAGTACAAGCCGTAAGGGGGCATCCATTAATTACGTGAGGCGTTTAGGGGAGGGAGGGGGTCAAGCCAAATCTCATCAATTCTCACGTAAGGGAGAGGGGGGGTCTCGGCAAATATCACGTAATTTTAACAAAGTATGTTTTTTAATAAATCCAACAGAATCAAGCAGTTTAACGTATAAACATTAAAAATAAGCATTTTTTAAAATCTCACGTGAGATTAGGGGGAGGGGGTTGAGCCAAATCACACGACATCTCAGCAAGGGGGGAGGGGGTCAAAAAATCGCTAAAATTGACTCACGTAATTAATGGACACCCCCTAATCAGACATCTTCGAAACTCTAACACATTTAGGATTAGTGATGCCGCAGAAACGAGAGATTCTCGCCTCTCGTCTCGTCTCGTCTCGTCTCGACGAGACGAGAGGGAGATTTTCTCTCGAAAAAAGGCTCGAGAGGAGACGAGAGAATGCCCTCTCTCGCTCTAGAATTTCTCGTTTCTCTCGATCTCTCTCGTTCTCTCGATTATTCCGGTAATAAGTAAACAATTTTTTTACATAAAAATTTTAATTTTGCGATATTTATTTGGACCAATGAGAACATTATTCGCATTTCATAATAAACAAAATTTGTTCCTGTATAACGTTTTATTATTTTATAACACAACTTAAGGTTAACCAAGAAAAAAATTACTTATAAAATAATATTAATTTTTAAAATTTACCCTGTATAAGCACATTTATGGCACTAAACAACCCGTATGCTTAATAAGCATTGCTTATTCAATGAACTTATCAACAACATGTGGTTTTTGAGGGGCTGATTACAAATTTGATATCCATTTCTTCAAAAAATAAAATGGCTGATCCAATATGACGAAAATGTGTCGTTCGGCTTTAATGGTTTTGGTAAAATTTAGTATTTAGATATTTATGGGGTCCCTGACTAAGAATTTCAAATTCAAATTCAAATTCAAATATTTTTATTGTGTAAAATTATTATATACAATAACAACAGTATAAAATCTACACAATAGGAAGGGGTTCAAGTATAAACTCAATCTTCCACCCCACCTTATTACAGCTGATATACCTACCTAAAACTAAGTACTTAATGCTAAATTACAATAATTAATATGAGATTTGATTCTTTTGATCTGTGAACATTATTTCACATATTACATTTTTAAATGTAGGTTTGGACAAAGAGAGGTAGTTAAAAAATTTATTCAGGAAATATGCGGCAGTGTACCTAAAGCACCCCTTAAATTTTTCAGTTAAGTGCTGTGGTATTGTAAAGCCTTTCTGACGAAGATTTATACTATGTACATCTGATCTTCTGACAAGAAGATTTAATAAGTAAGATGGGCAGTTACACTGCAGCATATTTCTTAAGAATTGACAATAAAGCAAAGTGATTCTTTTTTCAATATTTAAAATATTATTGGTTACCAGGATAGGTGATATATGTTCACGCCGATTAATATTATGAGTAAAACGAATACAGGAATTTTGAATTTTCTGTAGTTTATTTTTGTTTTGGTTTGACAAAAAATAATAAAACGCACTTGAGGCGTAGTCAAAGCTGGGAAAAATTAATGAAGATACAAGTGTAAATTTTAAGTCAGTTGGAAACTCGTATTTAAATCTGTAAAGTGTTTTAAGTTTGTAATGAGTGGTTTGAGATAAGAAATTAACATGATCAGTGAAGTTAAAATCTTCATCATAAAAGATACCTAGGTTTTTTGCTTTGTGTTTAAATTGAATTATTTCATTGTTTAGAATTAGTGGTTCTGCATTTAGATTAATAGATGTTCTAAGATATTTATTTCCAATTAGTAATGCTACACTCTTTCTAGGGTTAAGCATCAGTCCATTGCTTGTACACCACTCTGATAAGCGTCTCAAGTCAGCGTTTACAAGTTGTGAGCTTTTCGCGTAATCGTTTTTATTAAAGCTTAGGTACAGTTGAATATCATCTGCATATAAATGTGCTGTTGAATGTTTTATACAGTTCAAGATGTCAAATATAAATATAGAGAAGAGCAGGGGGCCAAGGACACTTCCTTGGGGCACTCCGCGATTACCAACCAATTTATCAGAGAGGACATTATTGCATCTAACCAGTTGTGTGCGATTGCATAGATAAGATTCTAGAAGATTGGTTGCCGTGACGGAGAAGCCCAAGTGAGACAATTTTGCTAACAGTAATTTTAAATTTACTACATCAAAGGCTTTACTTTGATCTAATAAAACAAGAAAAGTCAAAAGATTGTTGTCCATTGCGCTGGCAATATCCGAATTCACCTTTAAAAGAGCTGTGGTAGTACTGTGCATACTACGAAAACCTGACTGTACAGATGGTAGTATTTGTCTTTCTGTTAGATAATTTTTTATTTGAGCAGAAAGAATTTTTTCGAAAAGTTTGGCCAAAATACAGAGGATATGAATGGGACGCAATTGATTTAGTTCTTTAACATTGTTAGATTTAGGTAGAGGCAAAATTATTGACGTTTTCCAAGTATCAGGAAATACACCTTGACTAATACAATAGTTGAATATATGTTTGAGAGATTCTACGCAATAAGGCATGATTGTTAGGAGCATATTTATATCTATTTCATCGTGTCCGCAAGAGTTCGACTTAATTGCTTTGAGATTGCGTTCAATGTCTGCACATGAAATTTTATGAAAACTGAACGGATCGGACGTAAATTTTTTAGAGGATTTGTAAAACTGCAATGCTTGATCTGAGATATTCAAGTCTTTAGATACATTTAGAAAAAAAGTATTTATTATATCTGGGTCGGATAAGCACTCTGGAACCTTGTTTTGCAAATTTTTGTCTGGATGTGCCCCCAATTTATGGATGTTTTTCCAGAGGCCTTTTGCATTTTGTTTATTTTTATCACAAATAAACTTAGTGTATGCTTGTATTTCATTTGAGATGGCAATCTTTACAATTTTTTTTAGTTCTAAATAAAAGCGTTTGTGAGCAATAGTTTTATTTTTTAGATACCGTTTGTGAGCTTTATTTTTTTGTTGTATTAATTTCTTTATGTTATAGGTAATATAAGGTTTGCCTTTTTTTAAAGTAGTTAATTTGCTTTTTTTTGGCGCATGCTTATCAAACAAGCTAGTGATAATTACATTGAGATTGTTAAGTTTGTTATTGATGTTATCTGCAAGTTCTACTTGACTCCAAAAAACAAAATTGAGGATTCAAAATGACGGACATGCGCAGTAGGTACAAGATGGTTGGATCTATGTGGAGTAGTTACATTATATAGACGCAGTAGTTTTTAGATGGATGGATGATTTGATCCATCCATCTGAAAACTACTGCGCCTATATACTACACTGAGAAAAAAAATGGGACAAATAAACTGTGTAGCTAATCCTTTTATTAATAGTGAATATATTGTTTATTACCTCTAAATAGTCGAAATAATAACGATAAATATAAATATATATATATAAATATTTTTTTTATTTGGGAGCAATAAACTTTTTTCTCAGTGTTACAGTTACATCTATAGATCCAACCATTTGATTCAAATGTGCGACATTTTCGGCGTAAAAAGTCTTACTTTATCAGTGTGGTCTTGGCACAATTTTTTTTTATTTCCAGTTTAAATTTATATAGAAAAAATATAAACGAATACGTATTTAATTGCAAATAATTTTTGTATTCATACATA